ACCAGTTGCTGCCTGTCACTGCCTGTCCCCGGGGCAGCTGCTGGGGCTGCCCTTGTCCATTTATAACCTGGCACCTCTTGGGCACTGGTGGAAGGCTGGTGTCCTCAGGAAAGGAGCACTGGGATTGTCCCTCTCACAGAGCAGGGTGTTTTTCTCTCTGGTAGGTTGTAACTACTGTTTGCAAAGCACTTAAGCAGCCTGTGTAATTACTACTAAGATCCTCCTTATCTGGCATTACAAAACCTCTGGCAAGTGGGTGACTGGGACAAGCTCCTTTCTGCTCCTCTGTGTCCTTCTCTGTGTTTTCCCCTCTCTGTCTGCTCCTGCCCAGACACCCAGGCTTTGCAGCTTGGCAGGAGGCAAATGGATGTCCCTACAGCTGTCCAGGTCTCTTGGGCCCGTCCTAAAGGCTCATCCAGGCTGTCAGGACATGGAGATCACCAGGAAAAACTCTTGGTTTTGCAATGGCTGAAGTTTTTATGCTGGCTTTCTCTTCCTGGGCTGCTATGGCTTAGTTTCTTGTGACCCAGGGATTGTTCCCCAGCTCCAGGGGCATCCTGGTGGGATCATCACACCACCACACACCACAATAAAGGAGATCATCTCCTGATTGTGCCTTCTCTTGGTCAGTGGGTCCAGCTGTGGCTGGGGAGGGAGGAGATGGGGACAGGGACAGCCAGTGCTCCTTCACACCCTGAGACAGCTCTTTTCCCTTGCCAGTGCTTCCAGCTGCCTGCAGATATTTCCAGTCATAGCTGGGATCACTGTCATTTAGAGCTGATAAAGGCAGCAGTGCAGAGGTGGGTGTTTAAAGGCCATTTTTCCATGCCAGTTACTTTTTCATTTTCAAAGCAACCTCCCCTGTCTTGAGCTTGCAGTTGTCTCCTGAATAATGTGATGGCATTAATCTCTTCTCTAAGGACATGCTTAGCTCAGTGGTTTTAGATCTGTAGCCCTCTAAATATTGCCAGTGAGTGAAGGGGATTCCCTCCAGAGGGAACTTAAACCTATTAATAATAATATGGCTGCCTCTTGTGCATCTTTCACGGGTAGTGCTGATTCCCATGGCTGCAGGGCACCACTTGGTGATCTCTGGGGATGCTGCTGAGGGTGCCTGAGGTGTGAGAGAGACAGAAGGTGGGGTTGGATGAGCACTATCCACCTGCTGGGGGCCTGAGCCCCAGCCTGGCCAAATTTAGACCTTCCAGTAGCCTTTTGCTTCCAAGTGGGAAGTGCAGCAGATGTGTAGGTGGGGCTGATCCATCCACATTCCCTGCAGTGGTCGGAGAGGGGAAGTGTTGGAGCGAACAGGAGTGATTGCAAATCACTGAGCTGTGCAATGCAATTTAGCATCCTGCCTCTAAATCCTCCTCCATCCATGCTTAACCCCCAGGGCTGGCTCACATGGAGAAGTGGAGCTGGCATGGTGCTGAGGAGGTGATTAATCAGCACTGGTGGGTCTCTCCCTGCAGTGATGAGGAGTGAGAATCAGGGGTGCCCACCCAAAGGGTGCCAGCAGGAGAGGGGCAGGGTGACCCATCTGGCTGTGATGTTTAAGATGTGGCTTCATCTCTGTGGGTTGAATGTTGGAGGTTTTGGAGCTGCTAGAATTGGGGACCAAGGTTCTTGCACAGAATCTTGAAGTGTTTTCTGCATGACAGGGGATGCCTGCTCTCCTCCTTCTGCCCTTTCCAAAGTAGTGTAAGGGAATGTGTGAGCAATTTCTTGTTCTGTCACACCCGTGGTTTTGAGCTCCCCTCTTGTTTCTGAGCTATGGGCTTGGGACAGTTGATTTATCCAACATATGGGACTTGTGAACTGCCTGATCTTCACTGCTTGCACCTGCAGCCAGACCTATTCCACCCCCCAATAAATCAAACCCTGCTGTGGTTGTCTTTTGGGATCACTGACCCTTCCCTGTCCTCTGGATCTGTTTGCACTTCCTTGCTTATATTCAGTCTTTGCATCCCTGCAAAATCTCACTGGAATTTAAAGGAAGAGTGCTGTAAGCCACTAATGGAGATGGTTTCATTCCCTCTCATCCCATCTGGTGCCTCCCTGACTTTCTGGGGTGCAGTGGTTCCCCAGGCAGTATTTATGGAAAATAACTCTGAGCAGGGGGAAACCACCATCCCCAAACTGCACCAGGGGGTGTGTTTTGAAAAGCTTTTCAAACATTTTTCCTTTCCTCCTGCAACTCTCTTAGATTTGAAAAGTAAAGGGCTTCCCTGTCCCCTGGTTGTGCTCCGTGCCTGTCCTGGGGTCGGATCCGGCTCCGCAGGGCGCTCCGGGCTCCCAGCCACGCCGGGAAGCTGCTTGGATGCTGATTGTGTTTGTCAGGGCAGCCGGATTAAGAGCACAGTGGCTAAGCCTCCTCACTGAGTCTCCTCTCCAGTGGAGTCTGTGCCAGGGCACTGCTCAGAGACCCACGAGAAAAGAGCATTTTCCAGGGCTCTTTCTCCCGGGGTCCTTGATGTGCAGCTGTGGCTGAGCACCTGCCCGGTGATGGGAGCCTGCCAGCACCGATTCTGGGGGCCTGAGGTCTGTGTGTGAGACTCAGGGTGACATTTCCAGCTGGTGCCTTTTAAACAACCACTGTGGTTTCAAAAGGCACCTTAGCAGCATCTAAAAATCAGGTTAAAAGGAAGTTTGACCCCAGCTGTCACCTTGCCAGGTCTTGTGGTTTTTTAAATTTTACCATCTTGTTTCTGTTTTTGTTTTAGAAAAGCTGTTGGTCTCAAGGACTTGTTTTGTGCTTTTGGGCATGAACCTGCTTCCTTCTCTGGCAATGAGCTATCCCACCACTGCTGGGGCTGTGCATGGGTTTGCTGGGCAGGATGCAGCCAGCACCCACTGTGCAGGGGGAGGGTTTGCTCTGGCAGTGAACTGGCAGAGCAGGATTCCTGCCTGCTTCCTGCCACACTGGCAGGTCCCTGGGGCAGGATGCTGCCCATCCCAGCCCCAGCTCTCACCTGGCTGCTCCAGGGGTCCAGTGCTGGCCCCCTGCCTGGGCAGGCTTTAACGTGGCAGCCTGGGGAGACTCAGCCAGAGTCTGGCCGGAGATGCTGTCTCCAAAGCCTGGTCATTAAGTACCGGTAATTAAAAGCTCTTAGGAGAGAATGGACTAATGAAGCGCCCTTGGAAATGGCAGGTGATGTAAATGCAGAATCCTCTTCCCTGTTTCATGGAGGGTGGAGCAAGGATGGACACACCATCCTGTCCATCAGCTGCTGGCTCTGGTGCTTGGCATCAAACCCACTGCTGCCATTTGCCTGCCCATCACTGTGGGAATGCAGCTGCCAGCACCCTCTGCTCCTGGCAGATGAAAGAAATGGAGAGGGAGTGGGATGGCACAGCCAGGTGCTGGATAATGCATTCCCAGCTTGCTGCATCCCTAGGCAGGGAGATGCAGGGAAGCCTCTGCACAAGCACATCCCTAAAATCAACAGACCTGGAGAAGTGCCCTGTCCCAAAACCCCAGCAGGGCTGTTGTCTCAGGGATGCTGGAGGGGCAGAAGGACTGAGGTGGAACAGACACGACACACCTCAGGGGGACTAAGGAGAGAAGGTGCAATCTCTCTTGGTTGTGCCTGGAGATCATCCATGTGCACAAAAATAAATTACAAATCAGTAAACCCAGGTGTTCCACCATGCTCAGCACAGCCGACAAGGGGAGATTGCTGGTGTGTCCTGGAGATGGTGAAGGAGGAGACAGTGATGGAGGCTGCAAGGAGACCGGCTGCCAGCAGCACCTACAGAGGCCTGGCTGAAGCAGTGCCATGTTGGCAGGATTGGGAAGCACTGCCTGGAGCAGGAGTTGCTGCTGGGAAGGGCAGGGATGACAGGATTACCCTGCCAAGCCCCAGCCTGTAATCCACAGTGCCGCTCAGCTGGCCACGTTTAATCCTGTTAGGAGCCCGGCTGGTGTCAGCAGGAAGGGTGCTCAGCCACGATGCTGGCAGGGCACAGGGAGCTCTCCCTGGGAGGAGCAGGGACTCCTGCCCTTGTCCCCAACACTGATAGTGAGTCTGGGAACAATGCTGTGAGTCACTTCTTTTCCTTAAACGCATTGGCCTCATCAGTCTGTCTCCTAGTTGGCTTCACCTTCTGGCAAACAGTGCTTATTGTTTTCCTGTTCTTTTTTCAAATGAGCCTTTCACAGGGAAGACAAAAATATTCCCAAGGTCCCTTTGGCTCCATGTGGTCACTCCTGCATTCCCATCTCGGTGACCTTGGCTGGCGGCTCCTGGCTCAGCCTTGAGCCACCCTGCTGGCAGGCTCCCCACGTCCCTCCCGTGTCCCTCCCTGCCAGCCCAGCTGGGCCATGGGGGCTCAGACCACCCCCCATTCTCCCTGGCAGAGTGCAGCTCCTGCTGGGCACAGGCAGGAACGGGCTGCTTCTCCAGCTGCTTGAGGTACCAGAGATTCACCAGGGGCTGGGGGCTCCCCTCCAGAGCACCTGGGGAGGCACCTGCACTCCAGGTGCACCCACAGCCGGGATCCCACGGCGCGCCGCACTCCTGCTGCATCCCTGGTGCCACAGCATTCTTGTGGCAAGCCCTGGCACGCCAGCGAGCTCGTGAAGACTCTGCTGGGGCTGTCAGGCTGGCAGAAACAACAGCAGCAGGTTGGCACTGTCCCTGCCCTCTCATCCCACCCCTCTCTCTCAGGGTGCCGTGTGGAGCTGGGGAAGCAGGGATCAGCCATGCCCACATTCCCAGCAGGATCCACGCCGAGGCCGCCTGCCGCCCCCTCGCCCCGCTGAGGCCATGGAGCTGCTGCTGCTGCTGCTGCTGCTGCCATCACCACAGGAATTTTGGCTTGGCAAGGGGACTCTTGGTGCCTCTGCCATGGTGACATGAAGCAGACGGCGAGGGACGCCGGACTGCTGGAGGGGAGAGAGCCTGCACAGGCAGCCTGCTAGTATTTTAATTTATTAGTAGTATTCAATTTGATTTTACCTGATTTTTTGTTGGTTGGTTGCTTGCTTCTTCCCCTCCCCGGGGCTCGTGAGGGGAGGGGGTGGGCAGGGGAGAGGGACCCCGCCTCACCCAGCTGATGCAAGGATGACTGTGCTGGCCAGGGCCCGGCGGGGTATCTGGCAGCTCTCTCCGCAGGTGGTGTTGCTCCTGCTCTTTGCCTTCTGCCTGCTCAGTGTTTTCATCTCTGCTTATTATTTATATGGGTGGAAAAGGGGCTTGGAGCCCTCTGGGGACGTGGCGGGGCCGGACTGCGACGAGCCCAAGGTCGCCCCTTCCCGCTTGCTGCCACTGAAGACCCTCAAGGTGGCCGACTCCTCCCGCACGGACCCCCTGGTGCTGGTCTTTGTGGAGAGCCTCTACTCCCAGCTGGGCCAGGAGATTGTGGCCATTTTGGAGTCGAGTCGCTTCAAATACAGGACAGAGATTGCCCCGGGGAAGGGGGACATGCCCACGCTGACCGACAAGGACCGGGGACGCTTTGCGCTCATCATCTACGAGAACATCCTCAAGTATGTCAACCTGGATGCCTGGAACCGGGAGCTGCTGGACAAGTACTGCGTGGAGTACGGCGTGGGCATCATCGGCTTCTTCAAGGTAAGGGGGTACAAGGGGCAAACCAAATCCCATGGCCAGGCCAGATGTGAGCCCTGTGTCCTGCTGCCCCACCAGCACTTTGCCCTCCCCATGATTTCTACAAGTAGCATGAGTTGGTGTGGAGCACAGGCTTCTAGCAGAGAAGCTCTCCCTTTGGAAGGGGTGTGTGGCCTTTGGAGATTTTGGGGGAAAAAACACACTTCTGGGATCAGTCCAGTTGCTTTTAGCACTTGTTTTCCACCAGTGACCCTTGCTGGGGTTTGCCAAAAGCATGAGCAGATATTTTGCCCAGCAGCCCTTCTTCTGCCCAAGGCTCCTAGCCTTGGGGCACTTTGCACATAGGCCATGAGCAGGACTGAGTGTGTGAGGGGGATGAGGGCACCCCATTCTCCAGAGAGGAAAGAGAGAACCCAGAACCTGGATCTCAAGGGGTGGTGAGCTGCTGCCTCTGTTGCCATGGCTGTTGGTGAGCCCCTGCCTTGTCCCCAGTGTCCCATCTCCTGTAGCTCCCATTTTCCCCATGCAGGCCAACGAGAACAGCCTTCTGAGTGCCCAGCTGAAGGGCTTCCCACTCTTCCTCCACTCCAACCTGGCGCTGAAGGACTGCAGCATCAACCCCAAGTCGCCCCTGCTCTACATCACGCGGCCCAGTGAGGTGGAGAAGGGTGTGCTCCCCGGGGAGGACTGGACTGTCTTCCAGTCCAACCACTCCACCTACGAGCCCGTCCTCATGGCCAAGACCAAGTCAGCTGAGTCCATCCCTCACATGAGCGTGGATGCTGCCCTGCACACCACCGTGATGCAGGACCTGGGCCTCCACGATGGCATCCAGAGGGTGCTCTTTGGCAACAACCTCAACTTCTGGCTGCACAAGTTGGTCTTTGTGGACTCTGTCTCCTTCCTGACTGGCAAGAGGTTGTCTCTGCCCCTTGACCGCTACATCCTGGTGGACATTGATGACATCTTTGTGGGCAAGGAGGGCACACGCATGAAGGTGGAAGATGTCAAGGTGTGTCTGTGCTCTCCTGGATGGGTGGGCGGGGCTGGACACTTGTGCTTGCTCAGGGATGCTCCAGAGATGGAACTTTCCTGCTCCCCTGTCCCTCTGAGAGCCCCTCTGCAAAGTGCTCAGGGACGTTGGTGCTTGCCCTGATGTGGCAGCTGTCCCTGAGGCCACGTGCTGAGGACACTTTGCTTTCTCTCCCCTTCTCCCAGGCACTGTTTGACACCCAGAACGAGCTGCGCACCCACATCCCGAACTTCACCTTCAACCTGGGATACTCAGGGAAATTCTTCCACACAGGTGAGGAGGGCAAGGGCACCACTTCTCCTGTGGGTGCTGTACAGCTGGTGCTGGGGCACCAGTTGGTGCTCAAAGATGGTGCTGTCAGGGCTGTAGGAGAGTCCTCAGGCATCCCACCCCATTCTTCCATCACCTGGCCACCAAGAGGGGCTGGCCCTCCCTCTGCCCCAGCTGCTCACACAGCTCTCTGTGCTCAGCGGTGACAGCAAGTGTCATGCCACAGGTACTGATGCTGAGGACGAAGGTGATGACCTGCTGCTGTCCTACGTGAAGGAGTTCTGGTGGTTCCCCCACATGTGGAGCCACATGCAGCCTCACCTCTTCCACAACCAGTCGGTTCTTGCTGAGCAGATGACCTTAAACAAGAAATTCGCTGTTGTGAGTAAAATGCTTCCAGTGGGGTTGCTTGTGGTGAGGGCAGGATGGTAGAAGAGGAGCAAAGAAGATTCCCAGGGAATGCCCCCTTCTTGCTGGAGCAGAGGGACCTGGTGACATTAAGTCATGTCCCCCATGTTGCAGCTGTGTGGGTAAATCCATTTATACTCTAGTAACTAGAGCTAAAGGATTTATCTGCAGCAGCCAACTTGTTGCTGTGGCAGTGAGCTGCCCCAGTGGCTGTTCAAGGGGAGACTCTGTGCCCTGCAGCTGTGCTCACCTGGCCTGGAACCGTGGGGATGCAGAGATGCAGCCCAGGGGGATGCTCAGCCTGGCACCGTGTGAACATGTGCTGGAGCCATGGCTGTGCTGGGAGGCTCTGGCTGGTGGAAACTCCCTCTACAGGCTGAGCTGTCAGGGACATGTTTGATTTTAAAGGCAGGCTCTGACCTTCAGCTTGGTCTTGGGCTGTCCTTTGTGTGGCACTGACACCAGTTCATGCTGTGATTGACTGACAGCTGTCTTGAATCCAAACTGGTAAAGCCAGACCTGTTAATAATTGGATCCTTTGGCCTAAGAGAGGGATCTTCAACCTAGCTTGAATTTATTATCTGATAATTACAAGTGCTTAATTAGAGAGAGACCAGACCTTTCCTACTTAGGATGGGCAATGTTCCAGCTCAGACTTTCTACTGATACAAACCAATCTGCAGACCTATATAGCTGTACCTCCTCATTCTTCACACAACAGCTTGCCTGTGGCTGTTCTGTGGGTGACAACAGAAGACAGGGACGAGGATGGTCTGGATGAAGCAGAGGAGTGGGTGTCCACCCAGCATGGCTGCTCCTGGGCTCCCTTTTGTGGAGACAGCGAGGCGTAGGAGAGGATGCAGAGGCACAGCCTTGCCCTGGTGGCTCTGCAGAGGCCCAAGTAGACAGTTTGTAGCTGGGGATGGAGAGGGGTTGGTTTGTGATTTTGGGGTCTCCACAGTCACCCATTCCACACTGTTCTCTGCAGGAGCATGGCATCCCCACTGACATGGGGTACGCTGTGGCCCCCCACCACTCGGGCGTGTACCCTGTGCACGTGCAGCTGTACGAGGCCTGGAAGCAGGTTTGGTCCATCAGGGTGACGAGCACAGAGGAATATCCACACCTGAAACCTGCCCGCTACCGCCGCGGCTTCATCCACAACGGCATCATGGTGGGTGCTGGCCTTTGTCTCTGGGCCTCTCTTCTCCTGCCTCCCCCACCAAAACCAGCACCTTGAGAGGTGGTTTCTGTGCGGCTCCAGTTTGAGGGGGTTGTTCCCCCTTGCTCATCCTGCATGGGTGAAGCTTGTGTGAGGACAGTTTTTGGCTTTTCCATCTGTCCATGTCCTTCCCTTCTGTGTATGGATTCAAGTCAAGGGTGGTGAGGGGCAGTGGAACTGGTCCTGGCCTCCAAGGGGTGGAGGTCAGGTTCCCCCTTTTTGCTGGGAAGGGAAGGAGACCCAGCTCTCAAAGCCTGGAGGAGGCCATGTGGCCATTTCATTTCCCTGGCTCTTTCACCTGTTCCATACATATCTTTTTTCCTGCCCCAGGTACTCCCCCGGCAAACCTGTGGCCTGTTCACACACACCATTTTCTACAATGAGTACCCTGGTGGCTCCAGTGAGCTGGACAAAATCATCAACGGGGGTGAACTGTTCCTGACTGTCCTCCTGAACCCTGTAAGTACTGCCCAGGGACAGACAGACAGACAGATGTCTTGCGGGGCTTTCCTGGCCCTGCTGTGGGAGATGTCCCCAGTGTCCTCAGTCAGGGTGGGGCCATTTGTGGGATGGCTGCTGGGTGAGGCTCCAGTAACCCCTGCTCTGTCCTCTTGGCTTCAGATCAGCATCTTCATGACCCACCTGTCCAACTATGGCAACGACCGCCTGGGCTTGTACACCTTCAAGCACCTGGTCCGCTTCCTCAACTCCTGGACCAACTTGAAGCTGCAGACATTGCCCCCCGTGCAGCTGGCACAGAAATACTTCCAGATCTTTTCTGAGGAGAAGGACCCACTGTGGCAGGTACCCCTGTGCCTATAGTAGGGGGGCTGTTCTTCTTTATTGTGCTGGGAGAGGGTAGTGGGGTACAGCTGGCCCTGCTTTGGGCCTCAGGTAGCTTCCAACCTGGATTTCTTTCTGGTTCCCTGGGTAAGATGTGGCTTTTCACCTCTCACTGGTTCTGCAGGCAGTGCCAGAAAGGGATTTGTCCTGTAGATCTGGAGACAAGCCCAGTCTTTGTCCTGCCTGCTGAGCAGGGTGGCTCCCCTGTGTGTGCTGAGGCTGGAGGGGCTGAGCAGTGGTGGGGTCCCATCCAGGCTGCTCTGTCTCTGATCCTCCACACTGTGTTTCAGGATCCCTGTGAAGACAAACGACACAAGGACATTTGGTCCAAAGAGAAGACCTGTGACCGATTCCCAAAGCTTCTCATCATTGGGCCTCAAAAAACAGGTGCTTCCCTTCACCTTCAGTTCTGTGAGCGTGCTGGGGGACTTGACAGGACCCACAAAGAGCCTCTGTCAGCCCTCCTGCCCTGAAGCAGAGCTTGGAGGGAGGTTTGGCCTGTGTAAACTCCCTCTTTCTGTCTGTCCAAAGGAACAACTGCCCTTTATCTCTTCCTGGGGATGCACCCGGACCTGAGCAGCAACTACCCCAGCTCGGAGACCTTTGAGGAGATACAGTTCTTCAATGGACACAACTATCACAAGGGCATCGACTGGTGGGTCTCTGCATTGTGGGGACTGTCCTGGGAGTGCCCATAACTTTGGGAAGGCGAGCAGTGGTGCTGTGAGGTTTCCCTTCTGAGTATCTGAGATGTCCCCTGTGAGGGCGGTGCTGGGGCCATCTTGTGGTGCCTGTCTGCCAGCCTCACACTGTGCCTCCCCCAGGTACATGGAATTCTTCCCCATTCCCTCCAACACCACCTCTGACTTCTACTTTGAGAAAAGTGCCAACTACTTTGACTCTGAAGTGGCTCCTCGGCGAGCTGCAGCCCTGCTGTCCAAGGCCAAAATCATCACCATCCTCATCAACCCTGCAGATCGAGCCTACTCCTGGTATCAGGTCAGCCTCTGCCCCTCCCCTGGGTTGGGCAGTCCTGTGGCATGGTGGGCTTGGCTTGGGATGCGAGGTGACTGTGGCTGAATGAGGACACATCATGGTGGCCTGGCAGCCCCTGCACCTCGTGGGCAGCCCAGGATTGGGTTATTACCCTGGGGACAAACCTGCCTTGCTCCTGCCTGACAGCACCAGCGAGCTCACGATGACGTGGTTGCCCTGAAGTACACGTTCCACGAGGTGATCACGGCGGGGCCCGAGGCGGGGCCGCGGCTGCGGGCGCTGCAGAGCCGCTGCCTGGTGCCGGGCTGGTACGCCACCCACATCGAGCGCTGGCTCAGCAGCTACCACGCCAACCAGGTAGGGATGGCAGCAACCTGCCACAGGCTTCTTTCATGGAAAACCCTTTCCTTGGGATTTTTTCCTCCTGAGAAGCTGAGAGGCCTCAGGAACAAAATGTAAACAATGGTTATCTGCTGCTGTGGAATGCAACAGGTGGATCTGTGATTGGTCTCATGTTGGTTGTTTCTAATTAATGGCCAATCACAGTCAGCTGGCTCGGGCAGAGAGTCCTAGCCACAAGCCTTTGTTATTATTCCTTTTTTTTCTACTCTTAGCTAGCCTTTTGATGAAATCTTTTCTTCTATTCTTTTAGTATAGTTTTAATATAATATATATCATAAAATAATAAATCAAGCCTTCTGAAGCATGGAGTCAGATCCTCCTCTCTTCCCTCATCCTAAGACCCCTGTGAACACTGTCACAGCAACCATCCTACAGCCCTCACCCACACAAGGATGTGGGGGAAAGAGATCTTGCATCCTTCCCTTGGGAGCTGGTTTTCTTAAACCATACAGATTACGGGGAGAGGAGTAAAAGTACTTGGAGAAGGGGCAGAGGGGAGATGCTGTGCTAGAAGGGAGCCTGGTGATGAATAACACACAAAGATGGCCTTGTGTGGGTTGTCAGAGCAGGGTTGAAAGGGAGTGGGGCAGAGGGCTGTGGGTGGCTCTGCAGGGTCACCCAACACTCACCCTCACTCTTGGCCACACAGCCCTGGGGCTGCCCTGTCTGGTGTCACCATGGCATTGAACAGGACAAAAATAGCAGGTGAAGCTGCCCATAGTTCAGGCTGTCTGCAGGGAAAACGGGAGCTGGATGCCAGCCCTGCTGTGACCAACACAGTGCAGCACTGCTGGAGAATAAGGATCAATCACTGAATGATTTTTCCACTGTTGATTAACCTTATAAAGTCTTATTAGTTGCCTGCTGCTAGTGTAATTGCTGTGTTGCAATCCCAGCTGCCTGTGGGTTGGGTAGCCCTGAGCAGAAGCTCTGATGTTGTCCTGGGTGGGTCCTGGCCCTGGCTTTAGTTGCATTTCATTTTCCAACATCCAGTGTAAGGGAGCACCAGGGCACATTGGTATTTAACAGGTGTCCTGGTGGCAGATTTGGCTCCAGGGTGATCTAAGGTGTGTTAAAGGTGTCCTCTTGCCTCAGGAGAGCAGGGCTGGGAGCCAGTGACACCTCACCCCTCTGCCTTGCTCCCTGCAGATCCTGGTGCTGGATGGGAAGCTGCTCCGAACAGAACCCGCCAAAGTGATGGACACGGTCCAGAAATTCCTCGGCGTGACCAACTTCATTGATTATCACAAGACCCTGGCGTGAGTCCTTGCCCAGCTTCTCCTTCCTCCACCCTGCCATTGCTCCCATGCACTGTATTGCCCTGGGGACACTGTCCCAGAGCAGCCCCCAGCCCTGGCCTCTCCACAGAGCTGCTGTTGAGTTGGATGAGGCTGAGCTTTCACCTGAGATTTATCCAGACACTACAGTGAGGTCACTCCAGGCAGCCCAAGAGCAGCCCTGGGCTCCTGGAGCAGATTTCAGCATTTGTGACACAGATGATGGTATTGAGCCCTGGCACTCCATCTCCTCATAAATGCTTGAGAGCAGCTGCTGGCTGTGTGGCACCTCTGCAGGTGTCACCTTGCTCTGAGCCTTCCATTAAACCCCACTGTGGGAAGCCTCCAGAGCTCCTAGAGAAATAATAATTTACCTCTGCCAGGGCTTGCCTATGTATTTGTCCACCCAGGTGCTCCTGGGGCACTTGAGGGCATCCAGGAACAAAAGTGCCACAGAAAATGGTAATTAAACCCAGGTAGACTCTGTGCTCCCTCATCAGGGCAATGAATGAGCCTTGGTGAACTGCTTATTGCACAGCTGCAGGGGGAACCTGTGGTACCAGGGGGTTGATGACAAGATGTTAGCTGGCTTGTGGATTCCAGAGGTGGAGAAGTGCCCTGTGCAGGGCTGGACAGCAGTGGGACCTGCTGGACAGGATGTCCATGGAAGGTGTGAGGGGGATAAGAGGGCTGAGGCAGAGCTCTCACTTCACAGGTTTGATCCAAAGAAAGGATTCTGGTGTCAGCTTCTGGATGGAGGGAAAACGAAATGCTTGGGAAAGAGCAAAGGGAGGAAGTACCCTGAGATGGATTCAGATGTGAGTATGCAGAAAGCCTCCTGGGCTGGTCCTGAGCAGGGCAGGGCTGGGCTGGGGAGCTCCAAGCTGGTCCCCTGACTCTCCTCTCTGCTCTCCTGTTGCAGTCACGCTCCTTCCTGCGGGACTATTACAGGGACCATAACATAGAGCTCTCCAAGCTCCTGTACAAAATGGGGCAGACTTTGCCCACCTGGCTGCGGGAGGAGCTGCAGAGCACCAGGTAGCTGCTGCTGCCACCCCCCAGCAATACCTGAGCGGGGCTGACCCTGTGCCAGCAGGACCTTCTCAGCAATACCTGGCCTTGGAGGGGACCCCAGGAGCACACAGCATCACTGGAGGCTTGGAGGGGATCCCCAGGAGCACAGGGCTCCACTGGAGGATGTCTGAGCAGCGATCCAACTCTGCAATCCCTGTGCTCCCACCTCTCTGCCTGCCCCACACCTGTATCTCTTTCATTTTATTTTTCCTTTTTAATTCCTCGTCACTTCCCACCCTGCTCTGGCATAGGGAAGTGGCACAAATTCCCCCTTTCTCTGCTCAAAATGGGTTCCAACTGCCTTGGGCCCGAGGGCAGCACCAGAGCTGTCCCTCACTTCCTGGTCCGAGGGTGGAAGAGCTGTTGTGGGTGCACTGGTGGTGACTTTGCTGAGCTGGAGCAGAGGGATGGAGCTGGTGGAGACCTAAAGCACAGAGGAAACCAGACCCACTCCTGCCATCAGCCTCATGGCAGGAAACAGGAGAGTTTGCTGGATTCCCCCAGCACCTGCTTGGAAAAGCTGAGAACAAGGTGGATTTTTCTTTCAAAGACTGGGGCACCATTTCTTTTGTCATCTCTGTCATCATATTCCAGCTCCTCAACCTCTGGCTCCCTTTCCATGGGCAGTGTGGTGGGAATGTGGCCTAGCAGGAGAAGGGGCTGGCATGCTGGTCTGGGCATACTGGTCCCAGTATGCTCATGACCCCCAAGCCCTTCCTGCACTCTTGTACACATGTGGTGTTTCCTGTGGTAAAGCCAAGTGGTGCCCAGCACACCCTGGCTTGGAGGAGAGCTCGGGGACAGAGCAGACATTGGGATAACGGCAATCAGAAGAATGCTGAGAGAACTTCAAACCTCTTGAATATTAAAAATGAAAGTATTTTAATAATGCTGGGTTTTATGGGGGGGGTGGGGGGGTGGTGTTCATTTGGTTCCCATTTTGCAGGGAGGTGTTTTTTCTTCAGTGCCAGGATTTGTACCTAAACCCCGAGGGTTTTATGTGGTCTCTTTGGTCATTAGACATGACATGGACAAAGGTCAGAGGGGAAACAGGAGGGTTTCCCAGTGGGAGACACATCTTTGTACCAGTGGGGCTGCACGGAGCTGCAGCCTCTCCCACGGCCTGGGATTGCTGGCAGAGGAGACTGAGCCATCACGGGTTTGCTGGGATAAGGGCCCACGGTTCCCCTTGGATGGAGCTGCCCTGCAGGATGTGGGATGGCAGCAGTTCCATGGGAGGGGAGGCAATGCCCAGTGCTGCCCGAGGGGGCCAGGGCAGTGGGGTGGATGTCTCACTGCCCAGCTGGCAGCAGCATTCCCACGTGGATGTTTCACAGGAGCCCTGTAGCCACACCTGGGGCCATGGGGGCTGTGCTGGGGAGGCTCCCAAGCCCTGGTGTAGGGTCCTCTTGAACCAACTGCTAATAAATGGGGGGGGGTTCTGGTTTTATTTGCTGTTGTTGCCTGTGTCTCTCCTCGCTGGCATGATCCAGCCCTGCCCCTGGGGGTCCTGGCTGCCTTTGGGCCCATCTTTGGGGGTTTGGAGGGGCTGTGTGGGAGCAGCTCTCCATGCACGAGGTGGCAGCAGCTCTCTAGTCCTGGATCCGTGCACACTGCACAGCTCCCAGAGCCTCCTCCTCCTCCTCCTCCCGGGACAGCATCCAGCACCGACTGCCTGAGCACTGGGGAGGGATCTGGGGGCCCGGGGGTCCCTGCCTGCCTTCTCCCCCCTGCCCCACGGTCCATTCCCTGCCTGCCCGAGCCTGCCCGCCCGTCTGCTGCCTCCCCGCTGCCTTCCCGCCCGGCCCCTGCCGAGCGCTGCAGGAAACCAAGACGGAGCCTAATGAATCCCAGACGGGTCTGTTTGAACCTGTCCGAGTGACAAACGACGTGTGGTGCCGAAGGAGCCGCCGGATGGAGGGAGGAGAGGGGGCTGCAGGGGGAGATCTGGGGGGAACGATGGAGCTGCTTGCCCAGAAGAGGAGGCTGCTCATTCCCTGAGCTCATTCCCTGGAGCACATCCCGGCCATGCACCCACCATGGTTCCATTCCTGTGTCCCCATGCCCAGGAAGGAGCAGTGTCAGGGGCTGGCCTCCAGCCCCAGATGATGTGCAAGGAAACCTCCATCTTGGCCCTGGGCTGCCCCAGGTGGGCCCAGCTGGTGCTCAGCTTAGTCCTGAATTAATTGCTTGTTAATTACCAGGGTCATAAGCACAGCTCAGCTCCATGCCATGGCCATGGGGTGCCCGGGAGGATGAGGAGGTCTCTGCCCTCCCACAGCCACAAGAGAGCCCTGTGTGAGGGAGGATCTCTTCCCCTTGCCTGTCACCCGCCTTGGCACCAGTGATGTTTTTTAGCTTCTGCCAAAAATGCGCAAAGTTGGCAAAATCCTTTCTGGGCTGAGCAAAGGCCAGAGGCTGGGCAGCTGCAGCCAGCAGGCTCAAACCCTCACTGCCCCCGGACTGCAGGGCTTGTCTGGGCTGTCCCTGCTGCAGCCTTGTCCTGCAGCCCCTGCTGGGGACCCCACGGCAGCTCCTGCCCAGCTCTGAGCTTCCATGAGCTGCACGGGGCACTGGGTGGCAGTCAGCAGCTTCTTGGGGTTCTCAGAAGAGCAGATGAGAATGCTCCTGGCAGCCCCAGCCTGCAGGCAGGACCACGGTGGACATGGTGAGGGCTGGCTTTGCCGCCCACATACTGCTGTGGGGTTGGGTTCATCCCTGATGGCTGCATTCTGCACCTTGATTCATCCTGCAGCGTGCCCTGACACGTCCCCTATCCTCGTCCTGACACATCCCACCTCCGTGCCCCAACGTGTCCTGTATCCTCCTGGCTGTTGGGATGTGCAGGATGTCTGCAGGAGGGACATGGAGCACAGCTGTGCCTGGGCTGCTCTTCCCATGGGGTCAGGAGTGCTGGTGGTGCCACAGCCCGCCCAGGGGCCAGGAGGGATGCAGGGAAGGGAAGATGTGGCAGCAGGGATGATGAGGCTCACCTGGCTGGGCACAGGGTTGGAGGCTGCTGGCTGCAGGCAGTGGGGTAACTGATGAGAATGTGCCACTGAATGCAGGCACTGCATGCAGGGACCTGTTGTCCCCTAACCCTTTCCTTGTCCCCAGCACAGCTGTACAGACCAGGCCTGGATCCCACCCCTAGGTGCCTCACTTGATTTAAGACCCCCCAGCCCTGGGAAGGAGGGGTTGGAGAGGGTTTTGCAGGGAATGAGGTGGCAGTGGCAGCAGTTGGGGTGCATGTACACCCAGCCAGCTCCTCCTGCCTGCTGCCAGCAGTGCCCTGGCTCCCTGTGGCTGTTGGGAGGCAAAGCCCTGCAGAGGGATATTGTGCCTTCCATCATCTGGTGAGCAGGGTGGGCGGGGGGACAAGAGACAGAACTCTTGGATGACTTGAAAGCCATCTCCTGTGTTGGCTCCCCAAAGCAGATGGAGGTGGGGGTGCTCAGCAGTTTATGGGTGGGATGGGTTCCTCCTCCATTCACTCTGTGCTCTCCCCAGCCTTCTCAGCCTGCTGAGCCTCGACATTTAAATCAAGCTTTACAATGAGACTCAACAGAAATCAGAATTATTTCAATCAAAGTATGTCTATACCACGGATTTAGGTTGAAGGAATCTCACTGTCACTCCCCCATCTCTGCTCCTCCAAAGAGGCACACAGGTATGGCCAGAGCCCAGCAAGCTCTGGCCTGTCCAAGACCTTGGCTCTGGAATCCATGGAGGAGTCAAGACAGGCCATGGGCACTGCTCTCTCACAGGCTGTGTCTGCACCCAGTCAGTAACAGAGATCCCTGACCCCTGAGAGGAGCCCCCTGCTCCCTGAGAAAGGTGTCCCCAGCCCAGGTGAGGGTAAAGCAGATATTGCAGATATTTTATACTGTGGCAGGACTGTGAACACAGCAATGGCTTCACCTTCTTCCACAGCCCTTTGCTGCAAGCTGGGGGCTTCCCAGGGGATTTTGTCATGGACAGGGAGGTGACAGAGGTGCTGCTGGTGAGGCTCTGGCTGGGGTCGTGCTCCTGCAGGGTGATGGGACCCTCATGGAAGGTCAGATTCAGGGCTATTGGAAGCCTCCTGAGGCCCCATGTGGTGTCACACAGTGCCGTGTGCTGGGAGGGGACTGTGGCCATGCCAGGCCCTGCTGGAGAGCTGGGTCCCTTTGCATCCCCCCCACAGCTGCTGGGATGTGACCTTGGCTCTGCAGCCCTGACCCTGCTGCATCCTTGTCATGGGACCTGTGACTGGAGAGGGATGATGCCTAGGAGGGGGGAACAGTGCAAGTCAGCACGTCCTTGAATAAAAGCCATGCAAAATATTTCTTTTAATGCCTCTCATGATTTTGAAGTGACATATTTACACTTTGTGATAAAACAACACTAAATCCCAGTGTCTGAAAAAGTCAATGTGTTTCTGTTACATGTTCATCTACCCTGTGACTACAAAGCTGATATAAATCGTTTTGTAGATCTACATTTTCCTGTAAAGATTTATAGCTCTTGTTTCAAAGATACAAATGTATAGAATGTCTCCTATACATGCAAAGACATTTATATATAAGGTATTTACAACGCCTAAGACTGTAAACACAAATTGCCCATTTAAATGTCACAGCCCAAATCAGAAAATGCTGGGGATGCAAAATAGACTTGAAATGTCAAAGGACAGATGATGAAAAGATGTTTCTTCCATCTGGGAAAATTCTTATAACCAATTTCCATTAATCCCAGCTTTCCGGTGCCTGCAGTTAACCCTGTTCTGTGAGTGCTGCTTTTGCAGAGATGTGGTGATGGGCAGCTGGGCCCCTCCAGCCCCCAGGGCTGGTGCCCCCCTCAGCATGCCCCTCATCCCAGCCCTGCAGCTGCCCTCCCTCCCCACCTGCAGCCCCTCACCCTGCATCCCGCTGCCCTCCCGAAGGCGCCTTTGTCCCTTCCCGCGTGTTTGTGATTGGAACCAGGTGTGGGAGCAGCTCTGGGCCTGGGGGCAGCAGGGGCTGCTTCCCTGGGCTCTGGAGGCAGGGAAGCAGTGGGTTGTTCCCCCCCCCCCCAGAGGGGTTGCAGGGGCACAAGGGGATGAAGTGAGCACTGAAGGGGTGACCCGAAGTCCTCTGGCTCCTGCTGGAAGTACTGATGGCTGGCAAAGCTGGGACCAGACAGGTTTTGCATGAGTGGAAAAAGATAAAGGCTGATAAGGAGGATCTGGTTTAATAATGCAGGGGCCAGCTGGGAGGCAGGCTGGGGTGTCCTCTCACGTCAGGAGGCCGAGGATGAGGAAGGGGTGTGGGGGGATGCTGAGCCCTAAAGAAAAGTGAAGGCAGACACTAAACAAGGCTCCAGACTCTGAGGGGGGCAAAGGGTGACAAGACGTGTGTGATTCTGGCTGTCCTGGCAACTTTTCCTTGAGCAAATCCAGCTTCTGGCCACGTCAATGCAGATGAAACTTGTCTGAGCTCAGGGAGAGGCAAATCCCATGCTGGTACCAGCACATTCCCACTGCCAGGGGGCTGGCACTGCTGTGGGGGTGGAACTCAGCCCACACAATCTGTAATTTTCAACCATTTTAATACTTCTCCTTGTCATTTTAAGCCCCGTGGGGACTCGGTGCCCTTTGTTTGTTAATGCTTTCAGGTTGCTGCCCTCTCCAACGATCCCAGCACTGCCCAGAGCTGCTGGAGCATCCCCCGTGTGTCCCTGCCCTTGCTCCTCCCTGGGGCAGCATCTGCAGCTCCTTTTCAGGGCACACTTGGGGAGCGAGAGAGGAGAAACTCGGGAGCCAGGGCTGCTGCAGGGGCTTTCCAGCTGCAGGCACAGAGCAGGGAAATGTTAAAGGGTTCCCGCTGCTGCACATCTGGCTTGAGTTTCACCGCTGGAGCCTCCCC